TTTGTTTCAAAAATTCCACCCTACTTTCATAGGAAGGACTGGTTTTGGGTTTGTTTGTTTATTTTCAAGTGAAAATGGGCCTAAAATGCATAGTTATTTCAAAGGTGTTCCCAAGGAAGTGGCAATGATGGGAATATTTGTACCATGGAAATTGGCAAATGCTACCAGGGCTCTTTTGCCTTCCCAGTCTCGGCCCCAGTCAATTTTAAACATTTGCCAGTATACCAAGATCTAAAATCCTTCCTTTTTCAACTATATGTCATTTCGGGTATAGATCATGTGGAGCTGTTTTTTTTTTTTTTTCTCTTCTTTACATCTATTTGCTTTTTATATTTCAGAGATTCCATATTGTTTCTGATCCATGCAGGCTTACCATTATTTGTCTCTAGTGTGATAATGGATTTATTGGATCATTAGCTTTTACCTTTTTCCTATAATTTCTAGAGATTGGCGGCATTTGTTTGGTCTGTCTTTTTAAACTATAAGCATTGGTCTGTCTTTTTAAATTATAAGCATTACCACTATTCTTAATCTTTAATAATCTGCTCATTAAAATATTCTAGTTCTAAATGAAAGTTTGTTTATTCACTTTGTTATACAGATCCCTAAATTTAACCAAGAGATTTCAAATCTTGCGTTATTAGCATTTTGGGAACAAGGCTGTCCAGTGAGCTAAATTCTCCAATGTAATCCTATTGGAATTTCAAAGGAAATGTCATTGCAACTTTTATTTCCTATTCTTGCATGCTGAATTAACCAGCAAATTGTTCTAAAAATGCTTTTTGATGTTCAAGTTTTATTGGCTGCTCTTCTAAACCTTTAAAACAACTTCCCAGAGCCTCCTCAACTCTAAGTGAGAAGGAATAGCCTTCTAAAAATAAATAATGGTAGTCACTCTGCAGATGCACATTTTAAACTTGCAAACTCTCCAGGTTCCAAAGCTTTTCAAATTTGGAAAATAATGCTTTGAGTTTAAAATATTTAAATGTCATTGAAAGAGGAGGAGAAAGACAATGGGGGGAAGGAAAGACAGCAAAGTGAAGGCCAAAGCTATGAAAAAGGCAAAAGGCAACTGAAAATAGATCATAGCCTGGGAGATTGGAAGAGCAGAGGAATCATTTAAATGTAGGGTTTTCTGATCTTTTTTGAGGCTGAATCGTAACTATTACGTTGTATATAAGATTGAGAATATGGATGAATTTCCCTTATTTTAAGAGGGAAAACTTACTAGTGTACCATTATAAGGTATTGCTTCAAAACACTTACACAAAGTCGAAATGCCTTTCAATCGGACCATGAGAGACTATGGACTCCAAGAAACAAACTGAGGGTTCTAGAGGGGAGGGGGGTGGGGGGATGGGTTAGCCTGGTGATGGGTATTAAAGAGGGCACGTTCTGCATGGAGCACTGGGTGTTATACGCAAACAATGAATCATGGAACACTACATCAAAAACTAATGACGTAATGTATGGTGATTAACATAACATAATTAAAAAAAGAGATTTCTAGGCTCAGAGAACTATGCATTTAGGATCAAATAAATGCATTTCGTGATTTCAAGCATTTATAAAAAACTCTGAATTTATCAAATACATAGAAATTGGTCTGATGTTTAGACATAGTTTTGTATGTAATATAAATCCAAAATTATCCCTCACTTCAAGCAAAATTCCCATAGGCCTTATGTCTTTGGGAACATAAGCTACTGCCCCATTTACATTAAAGTTGGGCTTTGTGATGTCCCTCATGTATAGTTTAACATTCTTGTTAACATTATTTTATAATTTAGACATTTTATGTTTCAATATCTGAGGTCTGTATACAAAGAATGTTCAGAGGATGTATTAGCATTATCTTTCCCTGCAACAAGGCTGGGTTTGACACATACATCTCTGTTTACATGGAGGACATGAGACCATTTAAGTTTTCCCTTAAATGGTGCTCCTAGTAACAAGTCCAGTCTCTCATCTAGGAAGTACTGCTTACTGTTACAGATTAGGGGCAAATCTTCAGGTCAGTATTTCCCATATCTCTATGTGTATATTTTTTAAAATTTCATTGAGATTTTAATTTACATACAATAAAATGTTCCCATTTTTGGTGTATAGTGTGACTTTCTTTTTTTATTTAAATATTTTATTTATTTATCTGACAGAGAGAGAGATAGCAAGAGCAGGAACACAAGCAGGGAGAGTGGGAGAAGGAGAAGCAGGCTTCCCGTGTAGCAGGGAGCCCGATGTGGGGCTCGATCCCAGGACCCTGGGATCATGACCTGAGTGGAAGGCAGACGCTTAACGACTGAGCCACCCAGGCGCCCCAACATTTTGACTTATGTAAGCGACAACATAACCAGCACTACATTCAAGATCTAAAACGTTTCCATCACCTGAAAAAATTCCCGTGTGCCCCTTTAGTCACATCTCCCCAGATCCTTACTCCAGGTAAACACTGATTTCAGTCACTATGAATTAGTTTTGCCTATCAAATCATGCAGTAGGTATTTTTGTGTCTTGCTTCTTTTGCTCAGCCTGTTTTTGAGAATCGTCCATTTTGTTACATGCAGCAATGATTTGTTCCTTTTACTTGCTGAGAAGTCATTTGTTGTTTAAATATAGATAAATAGTTGTTTAAAAATAGATAAATACACAATTTATTTAATTGTTGAAGGTTTGAGGTTATTTCTAGTTTGAGGCTATTATAAGTGAAGCTGCTATGAACATTTATGTACAATGTATATTTGTAGACAGACATTTTCATTTATCTTTGGTGAACACTCAGGAGCAGAATTGCTGGGTCATATGTTAAGTGTATGTTTAACTCTATAACAAAGTGCCAAACTGTTTTCCATAGTGCTTATAGCATTTTATAGTCCCAGAGTTAATGTGTGAGAGTTTCAGTTGCTCCACATGCTTGGCAACACTTGATATTTTCAGGGTTTGTTGTTGTTGTTATTGTTGTTTTTAAGTTTGACAGTCTGGCAGTTGTGTAGTGGTGTTTCATTATGACTGAATTTTCCTTTCTATGGTAAATATATTGTGCATATTTTCATGTGCTTATTTTTTATTCATATATCTTCTTATGTGAATTGTCTGTTCAAATGTTTTGTTCATTTCAAGATGGGTTGTTAAATTATGTTGTAAGAATTCTTCATATAACCCAAATGAAGCCCAAACATAACCCAGACAAAACCCCAAATTCTTTGTCAGGTATATGAATGGCAAATGTTTCTCCCAGTCTATGGCTTGTCTTTTCATTTACACTTAATGGTGTTTTTAAATTTGATGAAGCCATTATGAATTGAATTGCATTCTCAATTCACTCGCTGTGCTTCCTTTCTTCCTGGTATCCACACCTTGATGCTATACTTGTCTTTCCTCCCTTGAGAAATTAGCAGGGTCCTTCTGGAAGAGCCGAGGGGCAGTCAGCACTGCCTGGGGCTTGGTGGGAATGTGTGGAGTAACTTTGCAATTCCACCAGAAACCTGCCTCCTGATGGGTGACATTGACTGAGCAGCTGGAGAATGAGGAGGTCATGCTAAATATCCACGGAATTTTACAAATATCTATTAAGCCAGGACCCCTTGAACTATCAGATGCAACATAGCATATACAGAACTGATGATATCAGAGATACCCTGAAGTTCTAATCCTAGTGCCGCAGAATGTGACCCTATTTGGAAATAGGGTCTTTACAAGTTTACCAAGATCAGATGAGGTCATTAAGGCAGGCCCTAATCCGATATGTTGGTGGCCCTATAAAAAGGGAAAATTTGACACAAAGACAGCACACATGGAGAAGTCCATGTGATAATGAAGGCAGGAATCAGGGTGATACATCTGCAAGCCAAGAAACACTAAAGCCTGCCACCCAACCACCAGAAGCTAATGGATTTGCATTGGGCAGGTTCTCCCTCACAGCCTTCAAAAGGAACCAACCCTACCTTCCCTCGATCATGGACATATAGCCTCCAGAACTACAAGAAAATACATTTCTGTTGTTTAAGCCATGCCATTTGTAGTACTTTGTTACAGCATCTGTGAGAAAATAATACAAAGCCAAATGTATTCATGTTTTCTTCTTTTATGGTAAGAGCCTTTGATGTCCTAGCAAAACTTTGTCTATCTCAAGGTTACCAAGATGTGTTCCTATGTTTTCCTCTAGATCTAGGTTATTTTTACATCACGCACAGGCATACTCCACACATTCTCCTATTTCACTGAAATTCATGTGTGTATTTTCTGATGCTTGAGGGAGCATTTGTTTCTTGTATAATTTCTAGAATTAATCATAGTTTCTAGTAATGTATAAATATACCAAGTGACTCTGTGCCCATCTCTTCAAGTTCAACTTGGGGTAAGTTTTAGTTCCAAACGGATAGGGCCCACTGTTCTTTTGGTTCCCTTCCTACAAAGGTGGAGACGATTATCACTGATGTTTAATGCCACCCACTGAGTGCCCAGTACATGCATGCTAGGTGTATTTCATCTTTTCCATCATCCTTCTTCCACTCAGGTGGACTATTGATGTATAGGTCAAAGAGGTGTGGCTCTGGGGAAATGGTCTGAAACTACTGAGTGAGGAGATCCTTTTTCTCAAGGATGCACAGTAACACCAACATTTACAATGGGCATTCTAGCCTTCTAGCACTCTTCTTAAAGAAAGGGCAAATGACCAACTGACCCATGCATCTCCACCTTGAGAAATTAGTATCTTTGTTTGAAGTTATGGCACCTCTGTTCTTCCTGGTTGGGAAAACAGAAGTTTTCTATGGCCATAAAAAGGACTGAGAAAATAATTCAGTACATTTTCTCTTTATAAATCCTTTTTTTGGGGGGGAATGGAATACTCAGTGACTGATGCATGTGGCCTATTTGCTCTTACATTACTATGTTACAAATACAGCATTGCTTTCTGATTCCCAAAGTTTTGTTGTGCTTTAGAACAAATTCTTCAATAGAATAATAGAATAACTGAAAAATTCCCAAAGGTAAAGCCTTACCCTTGACTGACAGGTGTCTCCATGTCACAGTTGGCTCTGGTCTGCCAATAGCAAGACACAGCAGGGTCACACTGCTTCCCTCATTCACAGTGATGTCTGAGGAGATATTCATGATCTGGGGAGGAACTGTAAAGAAACAAAGGAGAAAAGAAATACATGAGAATGATTCTTGGCACTCAAACGGAGGTATTAGTCTATAAATATTTGCATAGCATGCTTTTATGATAAGTATTATTCTCAATAATAATGTTCAGATTGCTTGATTTGCCAACGAGGCGGCCATTAACACTGTGCACTGCTAGGGCTCAACCCTGGCTCTCTGTGGACATGGCAAAAGCATAAGTACTTCCATTGCTTTGTTTTCCTCTTATTTTCTTCATTTCCTACCTGAAAAGATATGACTCATCACTCAAGAGACCTCAAAGATCACCTCCCCTCTGCAGTTTTCCCTCACTTCTCCCCAAATCCTGAGAAGAGAATCACTTCTCTCTCCTACTGTATTTTTCTGAATTTTCCACGCAGAGGGGACTGAGCATGTGGTATCATGGCAGATTTTTTCATGCTTGTCTTTTTACCTAGACTTAGTTGCTCGAGGATAAGGGTAGAGTCACATGCATCTCTATTTCCTCAGTATCTAGCACAAGGCTGACAAGGGTCCTGCTTAATTCCTCTTTGAAAGAACAGATGGAACAAATCCAAAAAACCACGGGGTGGGATTGGGAGCAGGAGGTCAAAGCTTTTAATGGAGGATTTCAGTTTCTTCTCTGTTATGTTTCAGATTCTCTGAAGGATGGCAAGAGAGGAGGCTCCGAGCCTATGGCTCTGTTGATTTATTCAAACTGCCAGTTTAATTATGAATTATTAATTACCAAACAGGTAGAGTACTGGTAGGTTCCGAACCACCCAGAGTCAGTGGCAAAGGAGAATTATGGCTGATGCTTGATTCAGACAACTCTGCAGCCGGGAGTTTTATGCTGCTGAGACCTTAGAGGTAAGTCTTTTCAAGGAGAAGCCATAAGTAACATGTAGAGCATTTGACTTCTTAAGGGAATCCACATTAGCAAATAAATAAAAATTGCCTAGCTTATAAATCTGCCATATTTTGGATTATTTCTGCATTAGGATTTGGCCTGAAATTTCATTGCACATATTTTACCCAAATACACACTGGGAAAAAATAGTGTGCATTCTAACTACACTGCATTCTCACGAGAAAACTGTACTACCTGTTTTTCAGTATTTTCTAGCTTGTTAAAAAATAGTTCTGGGCTTAGAAATGTCAATACTTTTTTCACTTTTATAAAGCAACAACTTCAGTGCATCTTCCACAATATTCTCAGAATAATGTCTGCTTTAGCTGGATGTGTTGGCCCTCTGAAGTTCTTTCTCTAGACCCAGGAGTCTCCTTGGTGCTGGTGTTAGGGTAGACACAGCTTGGGGGAGGGGGTGGTACAGTCAGGTTAGTAGAGGATAATTTAGTACATATGATGCCCAAGGACAGATCTCCCAATACAACCTCCAGTTCAGAATCATCAGTTTTGTACATGCTATGTTGCATCTGATAGTTCAAGGGGTCCTGGCTTAATAGATATTTGTAAAATTCCGTGGATATTTAGCATGACCTCCTCATTCTCCAGCTGCTCAGTCAACGTCACCCATCAGGAGGCAGGTTCCTGGTGGAACTGCAAAGTTACTCCACACATTCCCACCAAGCCCCAGGCAGTGCTGACTGCCCCTCGGCTCTTCCAGAAGGACCCTGCTAATTTCTCAAGGGAGGAAAGACAAGTATAGCATCAAGGGTGTGGATACCAGGAAGAAAGGAAGCACAGCGAGTGAACTGAGAAAAAGAAAAGTTCTTTCTTTTCTCAATTATGATATCCTTATGTACGATGCAATAATGTATATTAATACATAATGCTTGTTTTTAAATTGCTTGCACGTATATTATCTTATGGTTTCTTAACAAATTATGAAATAAATAAAACAAATATTCTCACTATGAAAAATGAAAAAAAAAAATTGAGGCAAAGGGAGGGTTAAGTAAATTCCCCAAAAGGACATGGCCAGTAAATGGCAGAATTCTTTCCATCAGGTTAAGCTGCTTCTTTGTTTAACATCTTATCAATGCCTGGAACACAGTATTTATGTTTGCATATTCTGTTTCCTCTGCTTTGAATGATCTCCCAGTGCATCTTCGCTCACAGCACTTAACCACAATGAATGAAACCACCTCATTCCAGTTGCTTCTCCAACACAATACACACCACTGAGGGAGGAGCCCATCTTAGTCATCTTTCTTTCTCCAGGGCATGCTACTGGCAAGCCGCGCGCACCAAGGGCGGCTCTCAACGCTTCTAATTTAATTTTAAATCTGAATTGAATTTGGCAATACTCTTATGGCCCTTCCTTTGTTAGCATGACAATTTTTTGAAGAAAGGAGCAATTGAAAATAAATAAATGCTCCTACATATTTTGACAGGAGACCTTGGTTCCATTTGCAGACACTTATCTGTGGCAAATGAATCTAAGTATCTATGAATCTATGTGTCAATCTAGGTATCTATGTGTCTTTATCCATGTGGTTGTATAGGTAAACACAAAAATGTACAATAGTCTTATCCAAAATATCAAAATTACTCCCAGAAAATGATAGGACTCACACAAGTCTAATTAAAAGATGACAGATAGCACAGTGTGTTTTAGTCACATCTGCAGACACGAGGGGCCCCCAGCCCTGCCAATAGTGTATGCATCAGTTCTCTTTTCATTGATGGTGGTGGGATACAACCCTTCATATGGTTGTGCAGATTGTTCAGTGCACAACTACGAGCACTTCAAATTGTGGTCCTTTAAGATAAATAGATTAAAAATCATTCAATAGATATAGACATATAAATGTATATATAGACATAAATAAAATATTGTCTGCCACTCTATGTATATATACACACACACAGAGAGAGACATATATACATAGACAAAGAGAGATGTATATATAAAGAGAGACATAATATTTTATCAGATAGCAATCAGAGGAAGAGGCAGATTTCCAAAGTATCTTAGGGTTCTGGGTTACCATGAGGTATTTATACATTCTCTCTTTACCCTTAGCATGGCCAGCAGCTCTTAGACACAAAACATTCTCGAACCTGCCCCATCCTCTCCAATCACATTGCCATTGGGTTAGTTGAGAAGCTTATTGTCTCTAGCTTGGAATATGACAAAAATCTCTTCATTTCTCAACCTGCCACCATTTTATAATTCCAAACCCTATACACCTACCACAAACACCTCTTAAATATTTTTCTTCTGCCTAACACCCCCAATATCTGCCCCTGGCTAAGACTGGAAAGTCCACACTTCTCAGCAGGATTTACAAAACCATTTGCAGTCTGGCCATAACCTAACTACTAGCCCCTTCTCTAACTGGTAGCCCCCCCACCCCCGCTTCTCTGAGGCTACATCGTTCTCTCATCTTTGTGCCTTTTACACATACGATTCCTTCTGCTGGGAAAGTGCTTTCCCACTTTTGTGCCACACGAAATCCTCATCCTTCACTCAATTCAACTCAGCTCAACCAGGAACTCCTTTACGATGCCTTAGTTGCTCTCTCTTCTGTTCCCAAGGCATTCTTGTTTATGTCTTTATCGTACAATTTATCTTTGCAACTAAGCTATTCCATGGAAGCGATCTGCTATATTTATCCTCCTATTCCTATTATATAAAACCAAAACCTGACGTGTAGTAACATCCTTTTCCCCACTTAATGTAATATATGAATGCATAGGTTTTTAAATTGGGTATCTTATAATCTGTCAAGTGTTTTCATCCTAGAGATCTGACATTCGCCCTTTCCTCTCCCTGAAATACCCCCCACCTTCATAGTATGTATTTTTTTTCCCATCGGGGCTCAGTTTTGACGTTAGCTCCTCAGAAAAGTCTTTGTTAGGACCCTAATCCTCCCCCAACCCATCTAATTCAGGTCCTTCTGTTCCAATGTCTTCTCAACCTTAAATATTCCTTAATGATTCTTATATAGCTTTGTGTTTTTATATACATTTGTATAATTATTTGTTTAAAGTCTTTCTGGTCCTAAACTATAGGCTTTATAAACCACTATATTCCCAGTACTTAGAACTATGCTTAGCACATAATGGGTGCTTAATAAAATTTTGTGAAGTAAATAAATGGTTACGATATATACAGTTGAGCCATGAACAATACAGGTTTGAACTAAATGGGTTAACTAATATACATTTTTTTATAGTACAGTACTATACATGTATTTTCTCTCCCTTTTGATTCTTCTAGTAACATTTTTTTCTCTAGCTTAATTTATTACAACAATACAGTATAAAATACATATAACATATAAAATATGTGTTACCAGTTGTTATGTTATTAACAAAATTTCTGATCAACAGCAGGCTCTTAGTAGTTAAGGTTTTGGAGAGTCGCAAGTTATATGTGGATTTTCAACTGCTTGGGGGGTTGAAACCACTCTCCCCCATGTTCAAGGGTCAATTATAGTTTCTTATACATGTTATCATGCATTTGTGAGGAAACAAACCTGAGTAAATTAAGGATTGAAACATGTGATTCTGTACATATTAACACTATCCTCCATAAAGTTGATATGATATAGTTGGAATAGCATATGAGAAGGCCATGTACCATAGCCTAGGTTCTGGGGTCCAACATACCTGTGTAACCTTAGACAACCTTGGCTTAACTCCTCTGAGCCCCCAGTTCTTCATCTGTAACATGAAGAGAACAATTCTTTTTCTAGCTACTTATTAGAATTAAGTGGAAATGTGTATAGTATACTAGCACAGTGCCTGGAAATGAGTACTTAATACATGTTAGTTGCTATTATTCATTTTTATATATTCATTTTTGATATTATTCATGCTATTTAGAATCATGTTATTTAGCTTAGTCTGTTCCTAATTGCTCATTTTCTAAATCTCAGTTCCTTCAAAGTTAAGTCTGGACATATATAATGATGTTCTCCTTTGATAACTGGGAAGCCTGCATTATATATGCTTCCAGGCTAAAATGTAAATATTCAATAAATTTGAATTTCTTCCTCTTTAGCTGAATAATTGAGCCTAAGCAAATGCACG